TTTTTTAAAATTCTGCTATGAGGCAATATCTGAATATGCAGAAGGTACATATTTCAATGGAATTGTTTAGCTGAATGGAATGAGATAAAATTTGATTCAATAGCATAAATAGTTTTAAACTTATTACGGGTGCTTTCATAATAAGTACAATTTAAAAATAGTACCTTTTATACAGAAGAAAGTTTTAAAATATTAGCCCCTTAACTCGTGCTTGGTTTCATTCGATTAAGTGGAAAAAATACATAGGAAACAATATTTCCCTATTCTGTATAGCTAAGATGCTTAAATAAGTGCAATTTTAAAATTATACTTTTTGTACATAAAACCCTTACCACTACTAAACTAACAGTCCGATCTCATCGGAAAGTGTTTTATTCAATTCAGTGTGAAAATATACTCACTTGCCTGTTCAGAAGAAATTCAATTTTTCTCTTCAAATTTACCCCATTTCCATCAACAACAAAAAAGGGAACGCGCATAGAAAAGAATAAATTTAATAGAGAATTTTTAATTATTTCAGTTATTAAATTTTCAGAAGTTTCAGAATTTTTTTTAATTTTACTGGGGAAAAAATATTGGTAAAATATAAACCATACAAAAAATGGTGGAAAAAAGAGGAATTTTTTTTTTGTTGTATAGTATAATCAAGACATATAATTAGCTTAAAAATTTTATTTGCCTCATCATACCGAGAACTACATCAAAAACAACCTTAATCAGAATAATTTCATAATAAATACTTATATTTAGTGTAAAGTCATTAATGCCTGATAATTATAAATAATTTTGTAAAAAAAATCAAATATATTTTGACATTAAATTAAGTACATACCCTGAGAATCTCGGAACATTGCTAAGTCGTCTCAAATACCCATAAAAAAAAAAATTTCAAAATCCAAATTGCAAAAGAGTTGAAATTAGATCGTATCGTAAACGATGATTTGCGCTTTCTTCATGTATTATGACTACCTGTACTGTAAGCACGTGACTCCCAGGCAGATTTCGGAGTTAATTTGGAATTTAAAGGAAAAATGCAAATTTGGCGTTTTTTGTTGCAATACTTTTTACTTTCAACCGGTTTTTTGATCCTGAATAGCCTTTATTAGATAATGACATTTTTTTTTATCTGCCAACCCCCACTGCTTAGTGCATGCTCGTTATGCGAGGCTACTAAACAGATCCGTATGAAGACTTTCATTTTTCTAGGAGGCATCGACTAATTTCCGAAAACTCCTTTTTTTTGTACTTAAAAAACTAGTTTTTTTATGAAATTGTAGATTATCTAATAATAAACAATATCTAAATATAAATTAAACAATGTTTCTTCACATAATAATTCACATAAAAGAAACAATAAAGCTATTTAACTCTTCTCTAGAAGAGTTAAATAAATAATCCCAAGAAATTGAAGCTTTAATATATTACCTAAAAACTTCATATGCTACAAAATATACAAAATGGAAATAACAGTTGACACATTTCTAGCGTTCAAAAACTATTAGTTTTTATAATCGTTGGTGTATTTACCAGTGCGTTTTTGGGAACATCGAAAAACAAGACGTGCTTTAAAATTCAGATTTACAAAACACCATGGATATGTCCGTTATCAAGAATCCGAAAAAAATCACCATTTGCTGCACATTGTTAGAATCTTGGTCAGAAAATCAATTTTGACAATACTAAAATTATTTGCACCCCAGTCAGGTCTGCTCATCTTGATACTCAATGTGGGTTTAATTATTTTGTTTTCCTTGTTCTGTTGTTTCTCTCTCGGCTACTATGGTTAATCTAGTTTTGTTTCTCACTTTTATTTTTCAATTTTTCGTTAGTAACTTTTTTATATTTCAAATTACTCTTTTTTTTTGCTAATTGACGTCTGGATGGCAAGTCTTGAAAATGGGAGTCTGTTTTTGAGCACTCGATACAAGTTGATTGCTATTTTTAGTTTTATAATAAACCAGGCTAGCTCTCTATNCAATCTAAAGAAAAACTTTCAAATTCTTATTTTTAATCAATATATATGCAATGTTCCTTCACTGGGTAGTGTTCCTTCACTGGTTGGTTTACCCTACCTTACATTTAAAAAAAATTTTAACTATTATTTAATACAATAATAAAAAAATAATAAATGTTTACAAACATATACTTTTTTCAATGGAATTATCTTAGGATAAATGAATTTTATAATCATGTATAATAATTTTGAAATTCGTTTAAAAAGGTCTCGAGATATGGCGCGAAATAAGAATAAGTGAAGTTTTGCTGCATGGAATAACATAAAATTTGATTCAATAGCATAAATATTTTAAGTTATTTCGTGTGTTTTCATAATAAGTACAATTTAAAAATAGTACTTTTTACAAGTACTTTTAAAAGTACTAATATAGTACTAAAATAGTACTTTTAAAAGAGATCCATTGAAACTTTTGAAATATTTGCCCCTTAACTCGTGTTTCGTTTTATTCCATTAAGTGGAAAAAAGACACAATAAACAATACTTCACTATACCGTATAGCTAAGACGTTTAAAAAAGTGCAATTTCAAATTTATACTTTTTTGTACATAAAACCCTTACCACTTCTAAACTAACAGTTCGATCTTGTCAGAAATGGTTTAATTCAATTCAGTCTGAAAAAATACTCACTTGCCTGTTCAGAAGAAATTAAATTTTTTTCTTCAAATTTACCCCTATTTCCTTAAAAAAAAAAAAAAAAAAAAAAAAAAAAAAAAAAAAAAAGAAAAAGAACGAGCATAGAGAAGAGAATAAATGTAATAGAGAATTGTTAATTATTTCAGTTATTAAATTTTCAGAATTTTTTTTTTAAATTTTACTGGGGAAAAAATACTGGTAAAATATAAACCATATAAAAAAATGGTGGCAAGAGAGGAATTTTTTTTTGTTGTATAGTATAATCAAGACATATAATTAGTTTAAAAATTTTTTTTGCCTCATGATACCTAGAACTACATCAAAAACAACCTTAATCAGAATAATTTCATAATAAATACTTATATTTAGTGTAAAGTCATTGATGCCTGATAATTATAAATATTTTTTTTAAAAGAATCAAATGTATTTTGACATTAAATTAAGTACATACCCTGAGAATCCCGGAGCATTGCTAAGTCGTCTCAAATACCCATAAAAAAAAAGTTCAAAATCCAAATTGCAAAAGAGTTGAAATTAGATCGTATCGAAAACAATGATTTGCGCTTTCTTCGAGGATTATGACTACCTGTACTGTAAGCACGTGACTTCCAGGCAGATTTCGAAGTTAATTTATAATACAATATTTAGAATTCTAAAGGAAAATTTGGCGTCTTTTGTTGAAATATTTTTTACTTTAGGCCGGGTTTTTAATCCTAAATACTATTTCGCGGATTATGACATCTTTTTTATCTGGTCCTCCACTGCTCAGTTCACGTTCGTTATGTCCGAGTACTAAATTGGTCCGTGTGAAGTTTCTTGTAGGAGGTGTTGACTAAGTCCCGAAAACATTTTTTCTGAATTTTAAAAACTCGTTTTTTATGAAACCGTAGAATATCTAAACATAAATTAAACAATTATTCCTTACATAATAATATTAAATGATTGATTTTATAAAAATAAACAATAAAGCAAAGAGCTTTAAATAAATAATCCCACGAAACTGAAGTGGAAATATACTACAGTACAGAACCCGTTATCCGGAAATCAGAAAACCGGAAAACCAAAAAACCAGAAAGAAATTCGATTAGTTTTCCCGTCATTTTTTAAAAAAAAAAAAATTTTTTTCCTCATAAGATTTTAGGATTTTAAGTCCTTTTTTGAAAGATGTTTACCTTACCATCATTTTGGAAATAATCATTAGTGTATTACTTCATCGTTTTTTCTTATTTTTAAGATTATTTCCAATTTTTTTTTTTAGTTGGGTTTAACTATAAAAAAAACGGCTTTTTGTAGCGATTCAGAAAACCGGAAAAATCAGTTATCCGGAATATCGATGGTCCCGATCGTTCCGGATAATCGGTTCCCTACGTACTTGATTAAAAACTTCATTCGCTTCAGAAATATACGAAATGGAAATAACAGTTGGCACATTTCTTGTGTTTTAAAATTATTAGTTTTGATAATAGTTGGAGAATTTACCACATTCCTTGTCAGTGCGAGCTTGTAGGCATCGGAAAAAACTAGAGGCACTTTAAAAGTTAGATTTAGGGAACATGATAGATATGTCCGTTATCAAGAATTCGAAAAATCATTTGCTGCAAATTGGTAGTATCTTGGTCAATTTTGAGAATGCCAAAATTATTTCCACTCCATTCAAATCAGCTCATCTTGATACCTACTGTGGTTTTTGTTTTTGATTTTTTTTCCTTGTTCTGTTTTTCATCATATTTCTCTCTCGGCTACTGTGATTATTCTAGCTTTATTTCTCACTTTTAACTTAGGATTTTTTGTTGTTAACTTTTTTTTATACTTCAAATGACGTTTTTAGCTAACTCACGCCTGATGGCAAGTCTTGAAAATGGGCGTCTGTTTTTGAGTGCTTATGTAGACTGTTATTTCCATTTTGTATATTTTCAAGGAAATGAAAGTTTTTAAGCAAGTAAAGCTAAGGGTAATTTGTTATGAGTGATAAACTACATTTTAATTTAATGTTTTTTTTATTCAATTCCCAAATTATTGATATCATAATAACGTGCTGAAATTTCTCTTTTAAATATTTTTTTCTTTATTTTTTCAGGTAATTTCATGCAACGGCATGGCGTGCTAAATACTAACAACATAGCTGGAAGAGATGAACATCAGTCTTTTAAAATTCACTGACCTATAACGAATTGTAAATAAGCAAATTGTTTTCTTTTATTTCACAATTGTGTAATATTCTTTATTCGAAATTTTAATTGTACTTTCTTATTTTATTCCTAAACCTAGATAAAAATAAATTTAAAAACGGATATAGATCGATATAGCTTATTTTCTGTTTATAAAAAACCTACATTAAAAATAAACTTACTGATTCAAACGATAGTAACCAAATCGTTTATTTAATTCTACGCATGTTCTGGATATAACCTGCAAAAAAAATAATAATTTTAGAAGAATAAAAAACAAACCATTCTTTGGAATGAAAAAAATTTTAAATCAATACACTATTGACAATTATTCATTATAAACAATAGCATCAAGTTCATCAAAGCATAACTAAAATACAAAAAATAGTGGTCAAGAAAACGGAAACAACAATTAAGAATTTTCTTGACCAATGAGAAGTTTGTGTAATGAATTTTTATTATTTAAAATTCATACATCTACAGCGATTAAATAATTTTTGTTATAATAAAAGTTTTCTCATTTTTTTTAGAAATCAAGTGCACTTGACTATGTAATCTTGCGTATTTGCTTTCAAATTTTTTTACAAAGCTTAAATAATAAATTATGCAGCAGATAAATTCACAAAAGAATTTTTATACACTGTATACACTGTACATCTAACATAAGCGCACTGTAAAAAAAATTCGTGAATCTGAACACCTGTTAACTTTTGCGATTATTTTTAAAACTCTATTAACTAAAACTTAATTAATAAGTCGCAGATAATTCACAAAAGCATTTTTTATGCATATACACTGCACATAATATCTGTACAAAGTAAACGAAATTTCGTGAATCTGAACACCTATAATCGCGCGTAATTATATTTGAAACTATTAACTAAAACCTAAATAATAACTTACGTTGCAGCTAAATTCACAAAAGCATTTTTTTATTGTATTACAAATTCACTTACCTCCAGGTATAATTATAACATCAACTAAAATATTAATTGTGAATAAATAATGAATTATAATTTAATTAATTTTAAACATAGAAATAATAAGAATGACAGAAATAATTAGAATTATATTTATAATTAATTATATTTATAATAATCATAACTAAAATAAATATATTTATACATATTATAAATATAATTATACTTACTATAATTACATTTATAGCAGTAGTAATTATAATAATTAATATGTTATTGTAAATATAATTATATTGATAGTTAAAATTAAATATATTTAATCATATTTATAATAACTACAACTTATGGCGGTAAAATTGTAATAGAATACAATTTTACTTGCCATATACGCAGAATTGAACCCATAAGAACAGGTGATATGCCTTTATTTGACGGCGTTGGTTCGTTAAGAAGTAAAAGATATCAAAAATATTGATACATTTTTAATGACTGTTATAATAAATCTATTTTAATTTATTAGCTATTATAATCTTTCAGTAGCTATAATAATATTTAATATCATAAGGGATCTAACCTTCTTTATTATCTAATCTCCTATATTCTTTTAGAATATCATAAAGACCAAAAACATTGAAAAACCAGAAAATTTTCTTGAATCCAAATTCTCATAGGACTATAGAATTTTGTAGAGGGGGGGGGGGAGTTGCTAATGGATTACAGTTATATTCTTTTATAAGGAAAAAAAATTCTTCTTAACTCAATTCTAGCATCAAAGTGCTGTTTAGAACATGGAATATTTTCTCAAATGACAGGCGGATTAAGCTAGTAATGATTCTATGAATATAGAGGGGTGAACAAAAGAAAGAATTTTGAGGTTTGTTCCCCATTTTCCCTCTTAAATTACCGCCTATTTCGAACACCCCGGGGGTATCCAATTCAGAGGCCCATTACCTCCACTGATTTGGAGGGATTTTTTATGCTTCAATTTGATATTGTATCCTTATTCAACTGCATTAAGAGAAAATGCAAATAAGGATTTTTTACTTAATGCGATATCTTGGTATGTATAGGATGTTAATATCATGCGACAATGACGGTTTATTTTTTGCCACATTTTTCTTTCTAGAATTAAAAAAATAAATTTCAATGAGGGAAATAATGACTAGACAAAATTAAGCAATACTGCAAATTTTTTTAAAAAATTAAATTACGCTTATAATAAGTTTTTAATGTTATCTTATTAAAAACAATGTCATTGCAGTCTCTTTGTACAAAGTTGTAAAATCTAATAAGTAGGGAAAATTTTTTTTGTCTCTATGTGATTTTTGATTTTTTCTCTCTCTTTAATTTCTATAAGCACACCCACGTAAGCAGAAATAACCTAATTAATAGGGAGATTTCTCAGTATTACGTATCATCCCGTAAGCTTTCTTAACATTGTTTTGAAGCAATTGCGCATGCTCGAATTTTTACTGCATAAAATCCAGCTCGCTCAGTACTTTTTTCTGTAAAGAACTCTCAGTATTTTTCCTGTTTGAAGAACTCTCAGTATTTTTTTTTCCGACTTAAGAACTCTCAGTATTTTTTCTAATTAAAGAACTCTCAGTATTTTTTTTCCGATTTAAGAACTCTCAGTATTTTTTCTAATTAAAGAACTCTCAGTATTTTTTTTCTGATTAAAGAACTCTCAGTATTTTTTCTGATTAAAGAACTCTCAGTATTTTTTTCTAATTAAAGAACTCTCAGTATTTTTTTCTGATTAAAGAACTCTCAGTATTTTTTTCTGATTAAAGAACTCTCAGTATTTTTTTATAAATAAAGAACTCTCAGTATTTTTCCTGTTTGAAGAACTCTCAGTATTTTTTTTCCGATTTAAGAACTCTCAGTATTTTTTCTAATTAAAGAACTCTCAGTATTTTTTTTTCTGATTAAAGAACTCTCGTTATTTTTTTCTGATTAAAGAACTCTCAGTATTTTTTTCTAATTAAAGAACTCTCAGTATTTTTTTCTGATTAAAGAACTGTCAGTATTTTTTCTGATTAAAGAACTCTCAGTATTTTTTTCTAAATAAAGAACTCTCAGTATTTTTTTCTGATTAAAGAACTGTCAGTATTTTTTCTGATTTAAGAGCTGTCAGTATTTTTTGCTGATTAAAGAACTCACGGTATTTTTTTCAGATTAAAGAACTGTCAGTATTTTTTCTGATTTAAGAACTGTCAGTATTTTTTGCTGATTAAAGAACTCTCTGTATTTTTTCCTGATTAGAGAACTTTCAGTATTTTTTCCGATTAAAGAACTCTCAGTATTTTTTTCAGATTAAAGAACTCTCAGTATTTTTTCCTGCTTAAAGAACTCGGTATTTTTTTCTGATTAAAGAACTCTCAGTATTTTTTTTTCTTATTAGAGAACTGAATATCCTCATCCAGCGTATATTGCAGTCTCTTTCAACGGAAATTGTTAAAAACTAATAAGCGAAAAAACCATTTATTTTCGGATATTTTTTTTTAATTTTTAAAAAAGCATACTTACATGAGCAAAAATAGCAGTATTAATAAGGGAGATTTCTCAGTGTCACGTATCCTTTCGTAAGCATTCATACCTAAGTCTTAAAGTAACTGCTCTTTCTATCGTTTATATACATAAAACCCAACTCGTGTTGTATAGCCGCTTCTTTCTCTTATGTCAGTTAAACCTACTTTCAATCCACCGACCAGAGAAATACTTCATAAACATCAGAGAATATTATTTTTTATTTATTGAACTGTTTTAAATGTAGATCAAAATATTTAGAATACGGAAAGTAAAAATTATGCAAGTCAATAATATTTCTTCCCTACGCGAGCAATTTTTTACGAAACTGATATCATCTATATTTTTTTAAATAAATTACATTCATTTTAAATATGCCAACGAACTAATTTTTACATTAAGAAGGAAAAACCAAAGATATATATTTATGATTTCAAAAAAGAAATTTTCACTTGTTTTAAACTTCCGAACACGCGATGATAAATGCACTTATTACATCAATAATTGCGCTCAGAACAATAGCGTTTAGATTTAAACTGCGCTTACCTTAATCTACGATAATTAGATGTCAACAAGCAATTCCAAAATTTTGTATGATTGTGATTAAAAAAAGGAGTAATAATATGAATTATTAAATGGAATACAAAAGCTTTGAGTTCTATTTTTATCATTAACGTTGAATCATAACGCATACATATAAGAGTAACGATTATCACACTTAAATATTTGCATATTGGCGTGGCGTTCGCAATTTGCATTTACTTTTTCTAGCAATTTCCTGAATTTCATTTATTTTAAAAAAACATGAGTGAAAATTTGGAACAAGATCCAAATAAAGAGCAGCGTTTGTGCTATTTCAGCTACAAAATCTAAAAAAAAAACAGTTAAATCATTCGTTAGAACCACAAGGGGTGTTATTACAAGAGAATGGGTATTTTGTCCTTATGTTAAAGTAGATAAAAATGTTGATTTCATATTTTCAATGGAATAATAAAAATGTATTATTCAAATCCACCAGCTTCTTTTTATTACACTATGAGAAATGCAATCTTAAAAATATATTCAAGACGTTTAAGAAGTGAGCATCAATTAGTTTTATTTTTTATTCGAGTTATCAGCATTTCAATTAAAAAGCAAAGAAACATATGTAATTTAGCATGCTTATGAAATATATTTTTCATATACTTTCTTCATTATTTCGTATAAATTTGGTCAAAATTAGTTAATTTGATTTATTATGTTAGTTTCGAAATATAGCATGAAAAACCTGTGTCTTTTTTTTGCGTTAAGTGTAACATTATTGAAACACGTGTCAACTTCAAGCAATAATTTTTCAAATTTGCAGTTATTTAGATATAAGAGAAACAGTCATTCATCATTAAAATTTCTTTAATTTACAAAATCAAATAGTGATTTTTTTTAAAATTCGAATAAATTGTCTTTTCTAACTACTTTTTTTGGTTTTTACATTTTAATACAAATATTATTCGAATAATTTTTTTAGTACTTATTAGACTGTTATTTATAATTAAATAATACCAAAGCATATTTTTGCTTGTTATTAGAGGGCCGAAATGAATGAATGAATATATATATATTCAAGGGTAGAAAGATATATTTTGAACTTCTTGAGTGATAAAGGGAAGAAACAATAAAATAAAATAGAAACAAGGACATTAGTTTTTTGGCAATTGCCAATAGTGCGTGTTTCGCGCCAAACAAAAATGTCGCCAAAGCAACTTCGAAATGAGGTAGGTTTTGCCTTTGTGGTCTCCCGATTCCAGAGATGTCT